GCACTGCGTTCTCAGTGATTGATAACATTACCTTAGATCTTGCTTTATGTCACTTGAAGGGCTTCCTGCTGGGTTCTGAAATGAAAATGATATAAAATGAGTATTTTGCAAGATTATTTCCAGCTTGTGAATACTAATAATGTAGCTACACATACAAAATGGTCATCAGCAAAACACTGATGTGCTATTCATACTTTAATCTAATCAGGGGTTTTGTCATAGTCTATCAACAGTCTTCTCTTTGTGTCTATGATTTTTTTTTTTTTCATTAGGAAAATGAGAGAGAGAAAGGGCATCTCTTGCTTTCAAAATTAAATTCATTTAAAACTGTGTATCTCAAAATCCTGTTATTTTGTTTGTTGGCTTTGGTATCTTCTTTATGAAATAAAACCTACCAGACACACCATTTTTTAAAAAAATCAAGTGAATTGGAAATCTATAAAGTTGTTTGGAAACCATGCTGAGTAAGCTGGGTAAGAAAGAGGTGTATTGGAAAGACAGGAGCATCATGGGTTTAAATGCTTATCCAGACCCTATTGAGATCTGAGTAGTCTCTAATATGTCACTTTACTTCCCTGGGACTAAGCTTTTCATCTATAAATTGAGTGAATCTTTCAAATCCAATCTCTAGGAACTTATTATTAATTGAGTTAATACAGTACAGCACTATCAATTAACTGCATTGAAATCACAGCTCCATTTTTCAAAGGCTCTATATCCTTGGGTGAGTAACTTAAACTTTCTGATTCTTATTTTCATCACCATAAAGTGGGCATTATTATAGTACAAACTTCCCATAGTTTAGGAGACCATTAAAAAGAAACTACATGTAAAATAGATAGCAACAACATTTACAAGTATTAGTGGTGGTTGTTAATGACCTCTGCCTGCTGAGAAGTACTTTTTGACCTTTTCATCAGACTAAATGAATTTAAAAAAAGAATTTAGAAGCAATAATTTTGTGAATAAAAAATGGCCAAACCTACCCTTTCCCTAAAATTACTGACAGAAAAGGCTAAATTTGACATTTCTAAGGTAGAAAGCCTCATAACTTTGATTATTGATAATCTACCTGTTTGTACATTCTTGATTATTATATTCTCTGTGTAAGTGTGGGAAAATGAGTGACTTAGACACAAAGCTTGCAAAATATACCAAGAGCAAGCAATCATTTAACAAATGCACTGAACTCATTGAATGCTGAGTACTCTTCTAGTTCTGTTGGCCACCTAGAGGGCTATGCGACATGTCTCCATGGGGAAGATGAAGCTGAGATAACATATAAAAAACAGCTTGTCAACAAGTGCAAATCAATAGCCTATAACATGAGTGCCTAAGTGCTAAGGGGATCCTTTGGAAAGCTTTCTTCAAAGCAATAAGGTAACCTAAAGGGTAGTAGTAGTGGTGTGCATAAGGAAAGACAAAGAATACCAAAATTCAATCACAGAGCACTTAGGGCCAGACCACCAAACAGGCAAACAGGGTTTGTACATGTTAGAATTTCTTCTCCTTTTTTTTCCAAATTTTATTTTGGTCTTGTTTTGCTTTAAATTAATGTACAACAGTGATTTATCAATCACTTCTGTATACCATGCCCTTATTTGGAACCTCTTTGCATATTGTCAAAAATTCATTTTAGAACATTTAAATCAACATTATTGAGGTATAATTTACATACAGGAAAATACATTCATTCCATTTTTTTTTTTTTTTTTGAGAGAGAGAGTTTTGCTCTTGTTGCCCAGGCTGCAGTGCAGTGGCATGATCTTGGCTCACTGCAACCTCAGCCTCCCACGTTCAAGCGATTCTTCTGCCTCAGCCTCATGAGTAGCTGGGATTACAGGCATGCACCACCACTCCCAGCTAATTTTGTGTTTTTGTTTTTGTTTTTTTTTTTAGTAGAGGTGGGGTTTCACCATGTTGAGCAGGGTGGTTTCAATCTCTTGACCTCGTGATCTGCCCGCCTTAGGCTCCCTAAGTGCTGGGATTACAGGTGTGAGCCACTGCGCCTAGCCCAGAATTCATTTTTAAAAGAATAAGTTTCTCAAAAATAATGAAAGCATTGAAGAAAATAGCTTGTTTTCATACTACACATCCCCATAATAGCAGTTTCAAAACATAAAATAATTAAATCTTTTGGAAATCATATTGATTTTATTTTAAAAAGTCACTTACTATCTAAGAGCATTTTAAATAATAATTATTCCTACCTTTTGTTTTAATTGTATTCTCATTAATTACATATTTGGAGAGAGATAAGTGAAAAATTATTTGAAGTGTATTTTTTCATAATGAAAGTTGGTGACAGGATACAGTTTCAAACCAAAGTCATGGAATTGGTACTTCTTATGACCCCTCATAGACTTCTCTTCAAGGAGAATACATGCATTTAATTTTGTATCTCCTTTTACAGAAAACAAATGGAATAATCATACAAAAACTGTGTAAAGCAACTTGTACAATAGCATCTCCCCCTACCTCCCACACACAAAACTCTGTTAACTTGGATGTGATGCAGAGCACACAGGATTGTATTGCGATTCCTTACACAACAGTTGGAAGGCAGTGACTCTTGTGTTTGATGCCGTAGATGTTATTGTACTATCAAAACCTAATTGGTTGGATTATCTGATTCATTTTAACTCAGCTACATGAGGTTGTGGAAGAAGATATGAGAGTGACACAAAGCTATCACATCGAATAACAACCTCACAGGCATTAGCTACGTGAATTGATCCTTCTATATTGTAGATTTTCCCTTGGCCTGTAGTGCTTTACTCACTGACAAACCTCATAAATTTCCCGGCTCTGGTCACATAGCAGATTGTTCATAAGGTAAGGCTAATTATCTTGATTGGATGTAATGTTGCTGCCTTTCTTGGTTACAAGAAAATGTTAAATCAGAATAGAATCAATGATAATCTTTTCATGAAGAGAATGTATGTCTTTTTGTTTTGTACCTGTAGCACCAAATCCCATGCCTGGCACCACAGAGGTACTCAAATAAAATTTGTGGAATGAATAAGAGGGCTAATGAATAAATAAATGAACAAAGATCAGTGGAAAATCATCACTGCTGAAAAGAAAATACACAAAACTTACCCCTTCTGAGGAGGGAGAAATAGCATCATTTCTGTGTAATAAAATAAAGCCATTTTATAAAGCAAGTAGTTATACTGACTTATTTTCACTTTTTTATAATAAGTGGCAGAACCCAAGTATGAGAGGTGGCACTAAGTCACAGACGGGTGCTTCCAAAGCAAGTAGCTTTCAAAAATTTATCACTTAAAAGCCAGTTTGGAAGCTTAGAAATTATGTTTATAAACTCTTCCCTGTCATATGGTCCACTAGTATACAGCTTCTTTTAATATCCTTCATGGCTGCCAAAAGACCAAAAAGGCTTTACCATTCATGAAAACAGGTTTGTTTTATAAGATAAGTTATATAATTTCCAGAAGATCTTCAGAGAAGATAGGAAGTAAAAAAAAAATATTGGCATGAATAAAAACAGTTTGCATCTAGAAGTTGACTAAGGTTGTAGGTTAATAAGTACCACAACTTGGATCAACAAATACAAAACTTTTAGACTTGTGTGTGTTGAGGGGGTGTGGGTATTTATGGGTATAAAATAGCATCAACATAACGCTCCTGCTTTGAATTGCAGTATGGTCATTTAGTGTCACATACACACCTCTTTGTTTAAGGAGTTATTTTGAAGTTCTGCATTCTAGTGCAAGGCATGTGTTCAACTTGAACCCTTTGTCATCTTAGCATTCTGGCTGAAATGGCATAATAGGATATCATACTGTTGTGCCTTTTAACAAAGTCTGCACACTGACTTCTGGGAATCCACGCAGCTCTAATCACAGGTGCATGAGGATTTATTATTGTGTTGCTTGTTAAAATCAGTTTCTGCACCTGTGTCCATGAACCTTCGGAATGTAGTTATTCACAAATCCCCCTACACACTTAGAATAACCTCTAAGCCCTTTCTGTGCACTACTTAGAAAATAACAGTAATAAATTTGCTTCTCTATATGTCTTACTAAATATGGTTGTTATAGTTATAAAAAATCTAATAGTTTTTAAGAGCTATCCTGGGAAGACCAATGAGCAATTTTGTTCACTAGTATCATCCTAATCGTGTATTGAAGTGTTGCTTATGTGTCAGGTAACAGTCCAATAAAGGTTACTGATTATACATAGGTCTTCTCTGTATGAATGAAAGTCAAACATGCTAATTAAGTTTAAATGCCATATTTACTCATGGACATAAACAACTGAATCATTAAATATGTGGTACATTGCCCCCAAATTAGCTGTTTAATTACTTTCTTGAGTCTGGTCATTCCTTTGTGTACAGACTCTGGCTACGACGCATTTACATTGGTTACTGTCTTACAGCCTGTATGTTGGTATCAATAATGGTAGCTGCTCAATTTGCAACACCTTACATATGTCCCTCAAAGTTGTTTCTCACACATTATCCTAGAGAGGTGACCCAACATTTATTTAAGGAATGTTGACATTGAATGGAGCATCAGAAATCACAATGGAAATTGTCCTTGATCAGCAATCTTGTGGATTTTGCTCTAACTGCTCATGGGTGTTGCCCTGTTGCAACCCATTGCCCAGTTACCCTAAGAATATTATAGGTAAAGTAGAAAAAATCTCTTGAGTACCCCAACTGGTTACCTACCTGAAGAAGAGGTGGTACATACTATAGCATGTATAAGTTTTAATATCAATAATGTTCATTAATAACTGATGGCTTAGTAGATCAATAAAAACATGCAGAGGAACATGCACTTGGCAAAAACACCTTTTGTAGTACATAGACTTCAGTCTTCCAGTTTTAATGTTTATCAGCATCTTGAGAGGCATTTATAGTCCCTCACACACTCCTTTATGATACCCTTATTAAGTTGTGATGCCTCCTGGACCTAGGACACAGTTCACTATTTTTCAATTAAAACGGAGAAATATCTTGTTTGTTGCAGGTTCGTTTCAAGCAGTTGGCTTGTGGGACTCTGAGAGATGCTGCTGCCCATGACACGCTGGAATTATCATGATCAACTACCCAGCTTGGATTTCACCCAGTGGCCAAGAGCTTTGTGTGGGAGACGGCAAGGGTTGGATTTTTCAAAAGAGTAAACCAGGTAAGGTTTGAGGGAGACATCTGATCATTTATCACTTGCTCTAAGGGCTTTAGTGTGCTGCCAAGATATATGAATAATGTATAGCTTTTCTACTTGTTTTCTAAGTCCACTGAGCAGGTTGTTAAAGAATGGGGCTCCCTTGGATTTAGGAGAATGCATATAGTAATAATTGAGTCCCTTTACTCATAAGAGGAGAAAGGAGCTATTTTAAGATACACATAATACAGGCATATTAATACTGTAGAGGCCGGTACTATAAAGATTTCCTCTTTAAGCTACTGTTCTGAACTCTAATGGCATAAAAAGTTGTACTTTTGAAGGTGCAGAAGAGAAAGTGTTGCCGTTAAGTATTTATATTTTATACAACATAGAAGTGAATATCAGTTCATGGCATATGATCTTATAAATATGCTTCAAAGTTACTCCAATTCAGAAAATTATACCATTGTTCTGCCTTTTATTTCTTTGAAAGTATTTATCATTCTAAGTCTATTCAACTATTATTTAAGATGGTGATACAATGACAAACTATATTATTTTGGCTCTGAGGATACAAAATATTGCATTCTTATTCACGTACTCTTTTATCTACTTTGTCTATTACATGCTGGAAACTCTTCTCAACTATTAACCATATTTTGGTCAGATCTTCTTATCTCTCTCTTTAACTCGCTTCCTCCCCTAAAACATCAATTAAATTTGTTATCAATAATTACCTGAAGAAACTACAAGGTATTCTTGTCTTCTGACTCTAAGACCGTCTAGACTTTAACAGTTTCTTTGAATTTTATGCATTGCAAGGCAAGATTTTCTTTAAGTTCAAGTATAGAAACAGAAAAAAGAACGTAAAATTCCTTTATTTAGAAAGCAATGGATGGAGATTATTCTATGTCACTAATGCTTGAATACCTTAAGCTTTTAACAAATATAGCTTTCATACTATCTGAAAATAAAGTAAATGGAACTCAGTCAGTAAATTATAGCCTGACATAATTATTGGGATATAAATGAAGACTTCTGAAGTGTTTGAAAACAATCTTTTAAAGTTTAATAAACATTAATTTTTAATTCCCTAATGACTTATTTGCATATAAGATGATATCATGAGAGTATAAAACCCAAATAGCTACAAATTTAAAAATTTTTTGAAATAGTGTAGATTACCAATCTCGTGGCAGTAATGTTTGTTTGACGAACTGAACTGGTGTATAATTTTTTTGTCCTGTTTAGTGGCAAAGTGGATTATTCACATTTAGAAGACTTCTGACAGTCTGTAAATGAAGGGGACATCAAAACACAGCATACATTAGTAGAAGAAAGCGCAACCCCATTCTGTGTTTCATAGCATTGACATCTAACACATAATTGTAGCGAAAATACTTTGGGATAGACTTCCAGAGTCTTATACCCCTAAGTCTTAGAGTTAATCCTAGTTATTTTTATTTCAGTATTTACCATAAAATTGGGTTATATGTCAAAACCTCAGAGTTAGAAAGGAAAACTTAAAAAAAAATTGTTTTTGGAGATGTTAACATTCCTCTCTTAGTGCTACAACCAGCAGACAGAAAATCAGTAAGGATTTAGAAGAACTGAACAATACCATCAATCAACTCGATCTAGTTGATATTTATAGAACTCTCCACCCAACAACAAAATCTACATTCTTTTCAACTGCATAGGAAATATTTACCAAGATAAACTATATCCTGAGTCATTAAACAGATATTTACAATTTAAAAGAATTTGTGTGTTGATAGTGTGTATCAAAGGAAATAAAGAAAAATAAGAAAAAATAAAATAAAAGAATTTGTGGCTGGGTACAGTGGCTTACACCTGTAATCTTAGTGCTTTGGGAGGTCAAGGTGAGAGGATCACTTGAGACAAGGAATTTGAGATCAACCTGGATGACAAAGTGAGACCTCATCGCTATAAAATTTTTTAAAATTAGTTGGGAATGTTGGTGTGTGCTTGTAGTTCTAGCTACTTAGGAGATTGAGGTGGGAGGATTGCTTGAGCCCAGGAGTTTGAGGTAACAGTGACCTGTGATAACACCACTGCATTCCAGCCTGGGTGACAAGGTGAGACCCTGTCTATAAAAAAAAAGAATAAATAAAAATAATTTTTAAAAATCAGAGCCAGCCGGATGTGGTGGCTCAAGCCTGTAATCCCAGCACTTTGGGAGGCTGAGGCAGGTGGATCATGAGGTCAGGAAATTGAGACCATCTTGGCTAACACGGTGAAACCCCATCTCTACTAAAAATGCAAAAGAAAATTAGAAGGCTGAGGCAAGAGAATGGCATGAACCCGGGATGCAGAGCTTGCAATGAGCCAAGATCATGCCACTGCACTCCAGCCTGGGAGACAGAGCGAGATTCCGTCTTAAAAAAAAAAAAAAATCAGGCCAGGCGTGGTGGCTTACGCCTGTAATCCTAGCATTTTGGGAGGCCAAGGCAGGTGGATCACCTGACATCAGGAGTTCAAGACAAGCTTGACCAATATGGTGAAACCCCGTCTCTACTAAAAAATACAAAAATTAGCTGTGCATGGTGGCAGGCACCTGTAATCCCAGCTACTCAGGAGGCTGAGGCAGGAGAATCGCTTGAATCCTGGAGGTGGAGGTTGCAGTGAGTGGAGATCACGCCATTGCACTCCAGCCTGGGCGACAAAGCAAGGCTCCATCTCAAAAATAAAATTAAAAAATAAAGATAAAAGAATTGAAGTTATACAAAATATGTTCTTGGACCATAATGGCATTACACTAGAAATTAACAACAGAAAGATACGGGGAAAATCCTCAGACTGTTGGAAATAAAATAATTCACTTAATCCATGAAATACCCATGTGAGTTGGACCTTATTGTTATCCTCATGTTAGAGATGAGAAAGTGAGGCAGAGAGAAACTGAGGAACTTGCCCAAGTTCACTTGGCTAGTGACAGCTGGAATCAGAAATTGGACTCAGGCAGGCTGGCTCCCAATTACACTCTGCAGTCCCTCTGACACATGTTGTAGCCTAACTTATCCAAACAAGTTCCTCCACAGATCAAATGATGCAGATAACTCACTTGGCTTCATTCAGGATAACTCAGGATACTTTTACTAGTTATGAAATTCTAGGTTGACAGGTCTTTCTTCCCCCTATAAGCACTTTAAAGATGGTTTTCCATTGTCTTCTGGCTTGGTTATTTCTGATAATTGTTCTCCTATAGGCAATGTGTCTTTTTCTTTGGCTGCTTTATCTCTGGTTTTTAGCAGTTTGCTGATGACTTGCTTAATGGTAATTTTCTTTAAATTTATCCTGTTTGGAATTTGCCAGGTTTCTTGGGTCTACAAGTTAAATCACTTTTTCTCAAATTTGGAAATTCTGCCATCATTTTCCTCAAGTAAATATTCTGCCACATTCTCGCTCTCTTCTTCTAATATTCTAATTACATGTCAGATGTTGTCCCACAATTACTGAGCCTCTGTTCATTAAAAAATATATTTTTACTCCATTTGCTTCAGCTCGAATGATTTCTTTTCATCTGTCTTCAAATTCATTCATCCTTTCTCCTGCAGTTAAGCCTATAAAATTTGTAAAATCATTTCAGATATGTCTTATTCCATTCTAGAAGATCCATTTGGTTCTTTTTTAAAAAATCTCTTGGCAGCTATTAGACTATAACTTCCATAAGGGCAGAGCATTGTATCCATTTTGTTCATTGTATTATCCCTGTTCCCTAGATCTGGCATAGTATCTGTTCACAGACAAACATGTGACGCCATCTCCCTAGCTATAAGTGATGGACTAAGGAACACGTGGATGTAGTAATGATTTGGGAACAAATGAGAGTGGCCCAGCTCTTTTTCTGTTCACTTCAGTGCCTGATGATCTCAAAGTCCACCAATCCTTCTCTTCCTGAAAATCTGTATTTTAGATGATGCTGATAGCTTTAGTTTGGGTTCCAAAGAAGCAGACTTTGGGAACTCCAACACCAAGATTCAAGTGCAAATAGATTAGATTATTTTGGAAAAGATGCCAGGAAATATCTATAGGTAAACTGGAAACTGAGACAGGGTAAGAAGGGCAGCTGATAAAGGATGTATTATCAAAAGTGTCATTAAGTGGACAACTGGAGCTTAATCCCAGTGGATAATTCTGAGAGTCAGTGCAGGGTTTTTCCTCACAAGAGGCAAAGGAGCTGCAGCTTGTATACACCATTCTCGTCAGTCATTGGTTGAGCGCTGCTGGGGTTGGGGTGGGAGAGTTAATTCTCCCATGCTTTTGAAACCGACCCAGTATTCCCATGGATAGTTTTTAAGATAAACATAGAAATTGACCCTTCTGATCTTAAAGCTTGAAACTTACATTTGTCTTCTCTGAGTTCCTTCCTCAGGAAATGACCTTCAGGCCTCTGAAAAAAAAATAAAGTATCAAATAACTGACACTCACCAAATACCCACATCCAGACAATGAAATGCCAGGCCCCTCAGTCCTCATGATTGCTTCCTTGCCCCTCCTCAGTTCCTGTTTTCTCACACATTGTTACATTCCTTCCCTGCTATATAAACCTCTAATTTTAGTCAATCAGGGAGATAGATTTCAGACTGAGCTCCCATCTCCTCAGCTGCAGCACCTGATTAAAGTCTTCTTCCTTGGCAATACTGTTGTATCAGTGATTGGCTTTCTGTGCGATGAGAGCAGGAGCTAGACTGAGCACCCCAGTGTTTCTGTAACACTTTTAGTCTGCCATATTAGTGTTGCTGGAGAGAGCAGGAGCCAGAGAATGACCTCGGGCAGTCCAAAGTCTTGCCCAGTGAACTGCAGCGGTGAGGTGTAAATTGATATGGGTAGGACACTTTCATCAGGTGCTCCACTGATTTGCCCTGAAAACAAGTATCTAGTAAGACAAATACTTAATACAGTGCTAGGCCCACATAAATATTAGCCTAGAATAGTAGCTAAATCACATATTTGGGAGTCAAGCCAACTTGGGTTCAGTTATCATATCTTCTATCAAT